TGGGTGGGTGACCACCAGCGAATCCCGGCTGTTGTATGTTTTTGCTCACCTATTTTTGCTTCTTTTCGTTATGCATAGTTTAAAATCTATTAACGTTTACAATTTTCTCTCTCCTAGCCCTTTATTGTGTACTTCTATTTGTATACACCTTAATAAATTCTCTCCACCGTTCGGCCAATCCTTCAACCGACCAAAGCGATGTTTCGTCTATTTGCGTTTTAGCTCTCAATCGTCGCTCTGCCAGAAGCTCCATATGATACTAAAAGCATGATAATACAGGGACATCAGGCTCGCCTATATCTTGAAACACAAACTGTGTGACACATTTCTTTTGATGGACGATAAAACGGCTAAAAAGGGTAACCAACATTCCTAAAACAGATCCATAACTGTCTTATTCGTACGCGTTGCTCTCCACCTTCAAGGTCTTCTGAGGAGGCTGAAGGATTTGCTCAAAATAGCCGGTCATTTCATCGACATCCTCGATGTTTCCGACCCATCCAATATGCTGATCGGGTCTGAGGATGACGAGAGCACCTCGTACTCTGTCCACACCCCAAGATTCGTACCCTTTTCCGGTACATTGTCGGTCCCAGAAGCAGTCGTCATCGCTCCAAATTTTGTCGTAGGCCCATCCTCTCTCCTGGTCGAACAGTCTGAGCATTTCCGGAAAGTCGGGGAAGTCCATCTCTCGCACTGGAGCACTGTGAATAGTGATCACTTCAATGAGACCGTCGAGTTTCTCGCCTTCTGGTCTATACCGCTGGAGAACCGATTCAGCTGAAGCTAGATGGGTGCTGAAAGCCTCGACGCGCTGCCTCTGATGTTTGTGACGCAAGTCTCCTGCGAGGAGCACAATCCGGAAGCGCCCGTCGCTTTGGAAAAGGCGTGTTGTCCACCAGGCCTGGCCGTCTGCCTGATTACGGATCTTGGCTGGTGGAAATCTTTCTCCAGGGATCAGATTCGCAGCGATGGCCTCGCCTCCCTTGTGCACTAAAGTGCTGGGCCCGTAGTAACAGACATATCCGTTGGCAAATGCGATGGATAATTGGATCAGGTCCATCAGTGTTTCCTTGGCATTGCCGGTGGCTGTGCTTTCCGCAGGATCACCCTGTTGCTCCTTCACAAACAAGGGCTGCAGGCGGCGGTCCAGATCGATCAGCATTTGCGCAGTTCTTTTACGCTCTAGCTCATAAGTTGCGAGTATAGAAGGGCGAGCAAACCCTTTCGCGACGAGAGCAACTTTCCAGCCGATATTGAATCCATCTTGCATACTCATGTTCATGCCCAGACCTGCCTTGGGAGAATGGGTGTGAATGGCGTCTCCGGCGAGATGAATTCGCCCTTTCGTGAAATTTGACGCGAGCCGCCGACCGACCTGTAAGAGCTCTCGAGTCACTCTTCTGTCTCCAAATCCAATGTTCGAGTACAATCGTACCTGATAAACTGTCCACCAGTCGCAAATCTTGAAGTCAAAGTCGAAGGGTTCCAGCATTTCCTTAGCCTTTTGCCGAACCATGTCAAGAGTAACCGAGGATCGATCTAGGGATGTCAAAGTGCTGTTGACGGCCTGTAGAGGCAGGTAGAGCCGGACAAGCTGCCTCTCCCTCGGGATGCTCAAGAGAGTGCCCTGTTCAGTTGCCACGGTGCACACGCGGCGGATATCAGCTACCAGGAGTCAGCAGCCGGCATATAGCCATGAGCACAACCCGACTCACGGAAGTTTGTGATGGGAACCATATCAACAACACCCCTGAACAATGAGTCAGTCAAGTGTCAGGCGAACAGTGTAACTGCCTCAGTACCATATGTGCTCAGTTGTGGATCCTTCAAAGGGTATGTTCAACTGTTTCCTGGTCCAGCTGTGTGCCCCATCACAGCCAATGAGGTACTTGGCCTTCACTGTCTCGACATTTCCTGGTCTCTCTTTGCTCTTCTTGACTAAATCATCCCAATCATCCGGCGTGATGTTACTCCGGAATAGCCCATTTCGTACGCCTCCAGAACCACCGTGAGTGGAGGAGGGATTCGCTTCTTCCTCGCTGAGGGTTCTCAATGTAACCGTAATAGGGTACGCATCGCCACGATTTTCGAGGGTTTCATCGTACTCCAGTGATTCTGCAAGGACGCCTCTCTCGACTTCAAGGTCAGAACAGTCTGTGATGGCATCCAAGATGAAACGTTCAATTCTCCCTTGGTTCAGAAGGCAGTTGCCAAAGGGAGAATTGTTCGCATCGTGAATCGGATGCTGTTCTTGTCTTTTTAATCGACCATCCTCACCCGGGCCCTGAAACCTTGCGTCAGCCAACGTTCGTGGACAACACCCAGAGCTCGTACAAAAGAGACCTACTGACCCAGAACGTGAATTCCGCCGCCTCACAGGCTTCGTGAAGGACTCGATGCACAACTCCTATGCTGTCAAGCAGCTCAAGCGTCCTAGGCCGCAGTCCGTCCGCCTGCCCGGTAAATACCTTGGCGCCACGCTTGTCAATGATTCGAGCATTCACACCACAGCGTGCCATCCAGTAGGCGGCCATCAGACCAGATGGACCGGCACCGATGATGAGCCTGAATCAGATCAGAATCATGACTTGCAGCAGGGCAGGAATTGGCTTACACATCAGTGTAGGATATAGGTGACTCCATCATGTTGCATGAACTTCGCTCGACTTTTTGGTAGTGCAACGTCACGCTACTTGATCCAACTCAGAGCGACGGAGGAAAGCGCTTGATGATATATGACTCAGTTATAGCCATAGATCTTTTCAGCAGAATATTCGTCCTCTACAAGGGACCCTGAGCTGTGCGCTACCGTCGAGGAGTCGACCAGGAACTTCGTTGATAGCAGAAGCCAATGGTGACGAGAGATCCCTTCTAAAGACGCATGGCATCTTCAGATATCGTCCGATGACAGTTTGTCTACATGTCAACCCGTAGTCAGGCCGTGGAACATCGGCCCTGCTGGACCTAATCGCGCATTTCGTCAGAAGTACCCAGGCCTGACGGCGACATGGCTCTAGTCCATTTTCAACGCATCCTTGTTGCCAAGTAAGCCCGCCAAATCACCGCGCGGACCATCTATGCAAGCTTACGGCGCATAGAGTGCAGTGACTGTACTCGTATATGCCTTGGTAGTCAGTCCTTGAGCCGAATCAAGAAACATAAAGTGACCGCCAAGTCCGCGGAGTCCATGTTTGCTCTCGATTGCCGAGCAGTCCCTTGTTCGAATGACGAGGTAGGGAGACAGCAATAACGTCAAAGAGCTTCAGGGTTGTTTTGGCAAGAGATGACGCTGCAGCCAGTCAACCGATCAAGAGGCTGATGATGCCTGAGCTCATTCATTGGCTTTCTCTGGCTGGCATATGCCTGTAGACTCAGCTGACGTCAGGATTGAAATCTGGCCCACGGAGATCACCATTCTCGTTCGGCTGCTTCAATGGTGCGGCTCTCGGCATAGAAAGCAGCTCAGCAAAACCGGTTTGATTTTGAGTCGATGTGTGCCAAAACTGCCTACTCTATCTGCTAAAGGTGCATCATGCCAGGAAACCTCCGAAGCCTTGGTCGAGGAATGCGAATGTCCACTCGAAAAGTAAATTGTGGATACTCGTCCAGGTGCTCCTTTGGAAAACCTTTATTCAAGTGGCCTTTATAAACAACATCCGTCCCTGACCAAGTTCGCGGATGTCTCTGCATCTTGATGTTGCCATGCGGACGTATCAAGCAAAGGAAAACGCCCAAAGTTGATAACGGGGCAAATAGTCACTTTCATATAGGGGGAGCAAGATAGGGTATAGAAAAGCGCAGGTGAAGTAGTGACGCTGTCCTGATTCCAGGGAGTGGGTGCGCGGTAAGCGGTGCCGGCCCTCAGCAAAGCTCCCAGTCTCTGAAAAGACTTTCCAACTCGGACTACATTTTTGGGCTTCATCCTGTGTTCCCTGCCCTTGACTGGAATAATTTACCAAGGAACAGGCAGAGCCAGTGATTGGTTGAGCGCGAGAGTAAACATACATAAGCCCCTTGCGGAGCTTCGAACGAGGATATTCAAATCCTAGGTTAACTTTCACAATGCAGGGGCTCACATTCCATCTCTAAGCCTCGAGTGAGTCTCGAGTGCAAAAAACTCCGCTCAAGAATGGATGCCTTGTTTGCAAGCTCTACGGCACACATGCCCTTTCCTGTTCCTGCGTGTCTGCATTCCGGGGGAGCAGGCATGTGCCCAAGTTCAAGAAAGGAATTTACCTCAAGGATGAGAGAGGCGATTGGGGCCCTGCTACGCGTTGGATTGTTGTCCTTATACAATGGACATAAATAGACGGTCTGTGTCCCTGGCGCGCTGGCCTCTTTCGAATCTCGCATCCTTCCAAGAACCTACCGCAGTCGCTCATTTAGGACGGACCCTCTACCTCACGCCAAAGTGTAAGACCATTCGCTCACTTAGTCTTTGACAAAATGCATTACTCTCAGGCGAGTTCTCTTATGCTCTGTATTGGCAGATGGTCGATTGCTGATGATTCTCCAGTTCGTCACCGTGGCATCTGCGCTTGCGCTGGCGCCTACCGCTGTTGTTGCTAAGCAGGCCGCCGCTGCCTTCGTCACAGTCAACACGCTCGACACTTGCCCTAAAGGTGTGGCCCAGGAAATCCTTAAGCCGGGACCGAAGGTAGTTACCACGCCCTACACGTGCGAACAAATCAAGATCAGTCATGGCCTGGACGTGTCCTACTACAGCTTCGACGTTGAGCCCCTCACCAAGGACACCGTTACTTCCTGCAGGGCTGTCAAGGTCTTCGACAACACAGCTTGCCAGGGCTTCCCTACTCTATGGATTCCTTTCGATAGCCCACTCGAGGACCGGTGCATCCCTGAACGCGTCTTCAGCGACGAAGTGAAAGCCATCTCGGTTCAGCTCGATTGCGAGGACCCCCCTGCCAAGAAGGAGTTACCCGGCCCTAAGCAGGTGGCTGAACAACTTGCCGAGCAGGTACAGCAGGCACAGCAGGCAGAGCACGCTCCTAAGCAGGAGGCTCATCAAGGTTCCAAGCAGGAAGAGGCTGCTCCTAAGCAGGAAGAAGCTGCTCCTAAGCAGGAGCAGGAGCGCGAGCAAGGTTCTGAGCAGGAAGAGCAAGACGAGCAAGATCCTGAGGCAGCGCCCGAGAGAAAGGCCGCAAACCCTGCTGACAGTCTCGGCCTCGCTGAACTCACAAAAATGCTCGGTTTCCGGTGAGCGGCGCGCTCGCTTCAAGCTGTGAGATTGGGTTGCAACTTGCATCACGGGCGGGAGTGAGATGAGTTGATGTGAAAGGGAACTTTGCATGCACACACAGTCTTGTATTTTAATTTTAATAAGCACCTTTTCTTGCCATGACAATGTCAATCAACATACTCTTCGTTTTTTCTGGAGAGTCGCTGCACATGAAGATTCGTAGAGTATAGTATCGTCGCTAGTAAGAGTCCTATTGCTCCATCAGTTGTACTGACCATGGAGGGGTATAGTAACCCTCCATCCATAATAACTCATTCCTCGATTGCGAAGCCAAGTTTCCCCTTCCAGGAGTGACTCTATTCCATGAACCACCGATTCCATCTGTATAAGGAACACCTGATGACTGAGTCAATCTAACCGCTTCACTGAACCAACGCAGTCTTAACATCTCTCCGAGAACATAGCGTGACAATGATATAGCAGAAGCTTCTAGCACATGCATTGCCGACTCGACAGGCGCGTCACCGTCACCATCACAGCCCACAAGAGCAACGGAATGGAATGCAAGCCATCAAGCCACCAACACCACTGGCGCGCGCCACTATGAGCTTCATGAGCTTGGCCCGGAATGCGCGATCTGCAGACTGTAGACTAGATTAGACCATCAGTTCACCACACTAACGTGTGCGTGTGCGTGTCGATTCCTTAGGAAGAGTGCAAATGAAACGAGGTATGTGTAGTCATTTCAGGCGTCTCGTGTCGTGTCGTGTCGAGGTCAAGGTTTGATCGTGGCTGATTCCTGCCATCGGGACTTATTTATCATCGTCATCATTTGGCTTTGGTTCGAATTGCGAAGTTGGAAGAGAATGCATATATAGGCTTATGTTCTTCAGGTCTAGCGGGCGAGGGATCACACCTCAGTGCAAGTCTTATACTGCTGGGCTGGATTATATCACTATCAACATGCACTTCACAAATGTAAGACAAACCTCTATTCTCCATCAGCACGACACAAGTCTAACAGCATCGCAGCACCTCCTCGCCCTCCTACCCATTTTAGCTCGGTCACTCGCCTCCTCAACTACAGCCCGCATCTGGGCCGAATTCTTCCCCTCCTGTCCCATCAACCGCATCCACCCAGCCTCAGCCCCAGACCACCTTCCCCACGAGGAGTTCATCTCAGCGCTCAATATCTCCCCGGGGACCTGCACGAATATCTTCGTGCCGCTCTCGTACGGCCGCGAGGTAACGCACATGTCCTTCGACGCGGAAGTCAAAGTCGAAGGCACCAGACCCGAAAAGTGCAGAATTGCCATACACGAAGTCCCCGGATGCGTCGACCCGCCTCTCCTCGAACAGGAGGTGAAGCACGGCCTCGCGTCCAGCGATTGCGTCCCTAGGAACTTCGTTTCGTATAATCAGGTTTGGGTCAGGTTGGACTGCGTAGAGGAGGAGAACGGGGAGGTGCCGTCGAGTGAACAACCGGCGCATAGCCATAAGCCCCTGCTTCATGACCGTCCTTATCTCCATGGTAACAATTCGATGGACTTGGCGAACCAGACTGCGCCTTATTTGAATGGAACGGGTTCCAGTACTGCTGCCAGGCCGGTCTCGCTGCGGAGGGCGCTGCGGATACGGTTGTAGAATCTCTTTCTCCCGGTTAATGAAGTTGGACTGTACAGACTTGAGCCTGTATCTACGTTGCCTGCGATTTTTGACTGAGAGAGGAAGGCCAGAAGGGAGAGTGATGGTGGTTATGTATATGATCAACGTCCCAATTATGGATTCACGTCTCCAGTCTAGCAAATTCATGTAAAAGCCAGTTGTGCTGTACAAAAAAATTCGGCTTCAGAGTATGGCTCGCGAAGCTGATAATTTGCGGTCAATAGAAATGTATATACGTACACCAGACGCCTCCACGCTGAAAAATTCAGTAACAACAAGTGCAAATCAGAATCCGAAGCTGTCGAGCAGTGAGTTGGCGTCGGGTTCGTGGAACATCGTAGGGGGTGGTTTTGTTTTCTGTGATACAGCTGGAGTCTTTGGTACCTGCGAAAGACCAGCTTTGATCGGCAGGTCTGCCACCACAAGACTGCTTCGCCGTCGAAGCATCTTTCGGTAATCGACGCCGTTTTCCTGTAGCTTCTGCGTGACGTCTTTCAACGTCTTGGGTGGAGGAGGCACGCTCAGGAACTCCCAATGGCGCACAAGATCCAGGGCAAGAAGGTCGCATCCCATGCGGTCATACAGGCGGGCATTGCGAATGATGAACTCCCATTCGGCTCGGGCTGATACCTGAGAAGCCCCTTTGAGTGTTTGCAGGGTCTTCTCCCGGAGTTGTTTGTACAAAACGACCAAGGCGGGATCGTTGGATAAGAATGACTTCGCTTGTAGTGAGATTGAGCCAGGGCTTCCAGGAGATGAAGGGGTAGAAGGGATCAACGCCTCGACGGGTGACTATACGACCAGTTGTCAGACAACAAGACAGAGAAGGAACAAGCGATACCATCTTACAATTAACGAGCGGACAGCCATGTCGCGACGGCCTAGCATCCAAAAGGCCCACGACGCCATCCATCGGTTCCCGTCAGATGCGGCTTCGGGCAAGACCCTCTCTTCCAGGATTTCTCTCAAAACGGGCCCATTGTCTCCTTCGTACGCACGCGTAATAGCGATTGCAAGCTGTAGATCCCCGACCTGGTTCAAACAGACGTTGGCCGCATCGCGTAGCTGGTCTGCAAGAAGGAAGAAAGCCGCCGCATACTCTGGAAAAATGTCAGAGAAAGCTTACTTAGATTCGGTCTTGTGCAGGAAGATCATACCAAACCTCCGTTTACCAAGAAGAGCATAAGCGTTTTTCAGAGCTGCAGTCTTCCATCGAGGTTCTTGGAAGTCATTTGCAAGTAGCCGTTGAGTGGCACCTTGTTCGCGGTGCCAACTTGCCATCCGCCACAGACCCTGCAGAATATTCTTTTTCTTGAGCGCGATATAGAACAAGGAACAGTCAACAGGGTTCTTTTCCTCCGTCTTGGTATATTCATTGCGCGCGACGAGCTCCAATTGTGCTCGCTGTACTGTGTTAGCTCTTCATCCTTGTAACCGATAACGTCGGGGATTGCTTACAATAGCATTAAAGTCTGTCAGCCACATAAAGATACCACTTTCCCTGGCTGACGCCCATTGCATCTTACCGCCGTACTGTCTCGATACAAGATCGGACAAAATATCTTGGCTGCCGCTATGGAACGCCCAGACGATCTCTCTCCAAGAAACGGTGTCCTTATTTGCGACTCCTTGGCTTCTTCTCAGCATGTGCTGTCGAAAAAACAAAAGATAGCGAGCAGCATTGTCATCCATCGACCGTCGGTGCTTCTCGACCGTGGCGACGCATTCGATTGTATCGGCTAGGCGGAACTGCTCATGGCTGGAAAGTTGCGGCAATGCGAAGCGAGAGAGATTCTCATTCAGTGCGGCGGCAGCGCTTTCGTCCATCACGTTGGAGGTTTCGCTCAGATCCAGGTCGGTATACGAGGCCTGTAAGTGTTTGGAAGATGCATGCTGCGGAATATCGTGCTCCACGTAGAAATCTTCCAGCGGCCTTTCCAAAAAGCCATCAATGTCGTCACCTTCAGTGTAAAATTTCAATTTCCGATGCAGGGTCATCAAGACAGAATGAACCACATTTGTCTTGCCACTGAGGATGCATTGCGCAAGGAACTGTGGGTGAAAGACAGGTAGCGGACCGTTTAGGCGACTAACAACCTCGAACAAGTCAACCGAAGACAGGCCGCGAGAAGGTATGCGGAGCTGTGAAACTAAGCGGTCGCTGGCATCGATCTCATTATCGTAAACAAAGAGTTGATTTCCAGCGCCAATCCCAAGGTGACCGTTGCTAAGCCAGCATGAATCACCGATGGGGTGAGGTGTCAGATCCCGGATCCAGATTTCTCTGATCTGCGTCCAGGATGGACGAGCATCAAGATAGTCATAGCGCAACTGAGACAGTAATATGACTTTATGGGGAAAACCGATTGCCAAGACCGACTGCTTGTCTGGCGTAGATGTCCAATCGAGGTCGCGAATAACATCATGCTGGGCGAAATGTTCCTCAAACTCCAGTTGCGCACCGTTTGTATCCCAGATTGTCAGATGAGTGCGATCCGCGTCAACAAGAGCTGCCTTCTTGGTCGAGCTCCCACTGGCGAGCGAGGGATTCTCAATGCCCGTGTCGACCGTCGAGGTCAGCAAAAACTCCACCTGACTATTCTGTTGGTCGACCTTGGCAGTCCATGTGTGAATGACACCTCGCGTGGTATACGACAGCGCTATATCCGGAGAAAAGAGGTCGAAGAAACCCGATACTGTTTTTTGAGGGCCTGCAGGGTCGACAGGCAAGATGTACGACATGTCCTCGGCGAGACCAAGATTGAAGGAACAAAACTTCCGCAGTGAGCATTGTGTAGCTGACAAGGCACCATTCGTCTGAGCTTTTGCAGGAGGTAAACGTATCTCCCACGCTATCCCATTCATATCAGCCCCTATTGTTGCTATGTAGACAACGTTGCCGCCCCTATCCGCTGTCGGTAACGGAAGGACGCAGAGCGGTTTGCTCGAGAGTTCGAACGATTGAAAGGCGATCTTTCGGGCATGGAAAGAGCGGACATCCCAGACAGAGATGCCGTAATGATGAAGATTGACCAGAAAGTCACCACTTTCTATCACGCAGCTACGATGAATGTGCTCGTCCGAGTAGAGCCAGCTCTTCCGGACCAAAACCGACCGACCATGTCTCCACCTTTGCTTCCAGATCGTGGCCTTGTTCTCGTTAGTCCGAGAAACAAGCGTGTCTCCAGCTGCATTTCGAACGATCTTCTTGATAGGATCAGTATGTCCGGTCCACGACGCTTTCAGGGCGATCCGGTTTTTGCGCGGCGTTGGATCAAACAGGACATCGACCTGGGAATCGAACCACTCAATTCTGCCATCGAAATGATGGACAATAATAGAAAATGAGTCTCCCAGTGGCGTGGTCTGAAAAGCACATAACTGAGCATAATCCTCCTCCGCGGACAGCCCAGGCATGAAGGAGAAATCAATGCTTTCGACATGAAGAATGTTGAAAGCGGTCATGTTCGACTTGGCCTTGGACCCAACATCCTCCAAAGCCCATGCAGACATATGACCTTGTCCGTCTAGCACAACGCAAATTTCCGGGTTCTTGTTCGCAACTTCAATAATATGTTCCAAAGCATGGTTCTCCTTGTTTCCTGCGCTTCGCTGCACCGCTCGTTCAGTCGCAAGACAAAATTCTCGGCTATCGACAATGAACCCATATCGACGATGCCTATTCTTCTCATCCGCAGTCTCCCTCGGTTGAACAGACGCGCCCATGTCAATCTCCGTCCATAACTGGAGAGGTGACGGCGCATGATGGTCGATCGCAGCCCAGACCCTGATCTTATTATCCGCGCTCAGGGTGTAGAACACATTTTCCAAGGATTGTTCTCGATGGATTGGCTTACGCCAATGTATCCCTGTAACAACTGCCGGGTGTGGAAGATATGAAACCTCGAACCGCACATCGTCTGCACCGAAGGAGAGCCGCCGCCAAACTTTGACCATGCGATCGTAATGTCCCGTAGTGACCACCAGTGTCGAATCGGGAGAGAACTGCGCGAACTTGACAGGGTTGGCGAGCTTCTGCTTCCATATGAGGCGCGGCACGTCATTTAAGAACCATAGTGTAAGATGCGAATTGCCCAGGAGTAGCTCGTCGGGGGAGCCCCAGGACAGGGTTCTGATCGTCTCGCCATCGTCTTCGCTGCGAAAGGTATGTAGAAGGGACCACTGCATTATTAAATTACAGCAAAGTCAGCAACGTGCGACCACCACCATTCGCAGGACAACAACACGCACCTTCAACGATTCATGCTGGATGCCGTACGGCTGGTATATGAAAACGTCCGGTCCACCACAAACAGCAATTCTCCCAGAAGCTTCATCAATCGTCACAGCCTCGAGCGTCTCGGTCTCATCCACGTAGATGGTCTGAAGGAGGGTCTGCGGACCGGCGAGGATAACAAGCGCATGCCCGGAAATGTACACCTACGGGAAAACGCGAAAGCGACAAGGGTCAGCGGAGCTCGTAGTCAAGCAAATGAAGCATGAGATCGTCTCAAGAATCTCAAGGATGTTTGCTTACAACCACGCGGAGACCTTCCCACAGCGCTGTGCTGAAAGACTGGAGCTTCGCTGGGGGTCTCCCTGGTAGCACCGCTCGCATAGAGGCGGTCGTTGATCGAGTTGGACGCTGGTTGCGCTCGGTGGTACTACACCATTGCCAGTAATAGACACGTGATGACGACAAGCTCCAGTTGAAGAATGTGCGAGGATGTCGATGAGGAAATTAGATTATGTTGATTTTTGAACTTGTGGGGAAAGACAGACAATACACTCCGTCCGGAGGGTGTGAGATGTTGATGTCAGTCACGCTGTTTCTGCTATCTGTACTTGCTCCACCATAGGCACTCCCGCCGTGTGACCTGAACATGCGATCAACGTCGACCTAATCTTTACATAGAGCACTAGGATTATCTCTAGGCAAATTGTGGTATGGCAGTATTATGCTCTACTGCAGTATCGATGTCACGCTACTACGGAACTTGCGGCGAACGGTGCGGTTCTCTTGGCAGTGAATGTAGTGGCCGGTGTTGAGTATATACGCATGGGCGGCTGGTTGCGAGGCAGCAGCGTCATTGTTACAAACTCCATGTCTGACACTGGGATTGAGTCCGACTCTGTTGAGGACGAGAGGTTGAAGAGGCACGGCGCCGCAGACGAGGACGTGTCCTTGCTGGTCGGACCGTGATCAGAGGAGTAGGCTCCGGCGTGCCTTCCTGATTCGGGGTCGCTCTGGTAAGGCAGCTCTTCAATAGCGAGATTCCTGCTGGCTTGCTAACTGCGGATATAGTTAGATACCACCATCCGAAGATCGGATGAAACGAGCCTAACATGTCTCAGAACTAAGGAGGTAAGATGGCCGAGTGGTTAAGGCGAGTGACTTAAGAAAATACTTCACTTGACGAAAGTCGCGTGGGTTCGAACCCCACTCTTACCATCTTAAAAAAAACCCATCTATTTTTTTGGGAGCCGCTACAGCCATACTACTATCTTATCGTTCCTGCCACACTACTCTAATCTTCATTTTTTGCGATACGAAGAGAAAAAAAAATGTTGGGGAACAGTTAAATCCGAGGTCTGAGATCGTTATCCGGACATGCTACCATTTTGTTATGGTAGATGGTGAAGCATAGTAAAGCAATGGATTCAAGGATGATCTCTCTAGGATAAGATACATGATCCGCTGAAGGTGGAAGTACCACCAGTCATATTGCCGCCCCCCGAAAAAATGACAGCGTCCTCGCTGTATGTCTTGCGCAGCCCCATCAACATGGCAGTCCGATAACGTGCTGGACAGGCATGGCAACCTATATTGCAGCTTTCTTGCCACGGGCCTGCTCGGGCTCAGGCTCAGGCTCAGACTCAGACTCATCACTGTCAGCTCTTGGGCGCTTTCCTGCAGTAGATGGTCTTTTCTTGCACCGTGAACCGTCTTCCAGGATATAGGCACCGCCCTGGAAGAACTTTAGGTCTTCGGCAACGTTGACGTTGGTTGGGTTGATGAAGATATGTCGTCTGCCTCGGGTTTTCAACGTACTAAATGTAGCACCATGTAGCCAGTCAACCAAGCTGTTCACTTTGAATATGGCTTCGAGAGTAGGCGGTGATGTCGGATAGACAACCTTTTGATCCCCATTTTCATCCTTCAGAGTTACCCGAAAAGCCAAACAGGATGCTGGGTCATCCGCTCTTTCAGATACAACATACGCATTGGGATGTCTTTCTCCAAGTCGTGCGAGCTCAGCTTGGACTATGACTCCATCCTTGTTATGGCTGAGGTAGAAGCCCCGAAGTCTGAGCCAAATAACAGAATGAACGAGTAAACAAAGGCCATATATCTGCCGCTTTTCTTTGGCCCCATGGCTGGACCACCAATGCTGCCCTTTAAAACGGCGCCCATTCAGCAGGCTGATTTGTGTCTGTATCTCAATTGATGTCAGTTCTCCATAAGCAGGATCATGCTGAGCTGCAATGATCTGCTTTCTGGTAGTAGCACCAACACACTCAGACACTTCGGAGACTTTGATCTGAGCCTTCCCACTCCTGGAGGAACATAGGGTCAGTCCGGTTTCTTCCAGGTCATCTCTTTCTCCTGCGACCATTGCCTGGCTGATTGCTTCAATGTCCAGTGTGCTACTTGTATCTGACTCATCATCGCTCTCCGAATTTTCGTGGTGTTCCAGGGACTCAGAACTTCCAGAAACTCTGCTGCTCTCCAATGACTTGTTGCTCTTGGAACATGTATCATATTCAATTGAGCCACTGGGATCTGCAGAAATGGTTTGAGCATCCTTGGGCCATTCTTGCTGCATCTCATCATAGAGGTCCCTCATCTCTTGTAGCTTCTCTGGGGGAAAGACACGTGAACGATTTCTTGTCTTTTTCTTTATCAGTATCTTGGTAGTTGGCATGGCGATATCCTTGGGTCTTTCCGGCAGACTTGTCCAAAGTAGAAAGATAGACTTTGGAAACGATCCTCCAACAGCCTTAAGACGCTCGAGGGCAGCGCTGGTCCGAAAGCCCTTGCGATACAACCAGGCACGAATACCAGCATCAATAGAGTCTGCAGTTGCCATCGGCTTGCCTCGTCCGTCTCGTTCATCTCAGTAGCGTTTGATTATTTGTGCACCCACCAGTGTTCGCTCGTAAAATGTGGTATGTATAGTGCTCTTGAATTCCGCCACAACTGCGCTGAATCTGAAGATTTCACACCATTGAACCACCTGCCTTCCAGCGTTTGCCCATAAAATGGACAGTGGCCTTGGTGCGTGGATAAAGACCCGCTTTATGCAAGCTTCATCGATCTCAACGTAGGCTTGGACATTGGTTCCCCTGAAATTGAGGGAAATCTGACGACCTAGGCCTAGGAGTCGTGTAACTTCAGCATCACTAAAAATGATGATCCGGAGGTTGCTTGCTTGAATGAGATCCTTGTTGGCTTTGCTTATGGCATCAGCTTCATCTGGCCTCATCTGCTTGAAGGAAAGAGATGTTGATAGCTGGATGATTTCCTGGGTGAATGTGAAAGGCCAAATAAGAGAATTCTCTTCGCAGAATCCACTCTCCGTGATACCCCAAGAGACTGCACATTCGCCTGTTGCCCCATATGACAGTGGTTGGCTCTCCCTAAGATAGCTATGCTGGTCCAGAATTATCCCAACCCGGGCCTTGAGAGTACCTCTAGGCTTAACAACCTTTTGGGGCTCTCTAACAGCATCTTTAACTGTACGCAAGCAGGACTCCATGTCGAATGGTTTCATGAGCGAAGCTGTAGTATCCATAGGCTGTAAATCAGAGATCCCAAGTTGTGCCCTTGCAGCTGATGTCAAGATTTCGAGGTATTCATGGCGCTTGAGAGAGTTACCAGTCCGCTCTTGAGATAAGGCCTGGTCTTCTAACCGTCGCTTCAATCGATACTGTGGCCATCTAATCTCCCTGTCTGGCGAGTCTTCTAGTTGGAGTGAGTAGGTGTATCTGGCACCTGGGCTAAGTGAGACTCCCTGAAGAAGTGGCGGAACAACATTCAGGCCAGTGCCAGAGTATTCCCCCTTCCCAAAGTATTCTTCAAGAATACCTGGTGCAAGGGTCTGGAAGCATCTAGCCATGAACATCTCTAGGATATTAGCAAATACCATAGGGATATGTTTGTTAACATGATCTGGCCAGACAAGAGTCCAGAGTTTCATGAAGTTGATCGCACGGTGCCCAGCTCCTTTAGCCACAATATAATAATGCAGCGTACTCTGTTCACTGTTGATAATAGCCCTGAGATGCTGCATGATCCGATTTCTGGGGTTTTCTGATTGTCCAACATATCCACGCCAATAGGCTGCGTTGCGATCATCAGTAACAAAGCTTAGGTATCCGTTGTCCTTCTCCCATACTTCGGTTGCTGCTTGCTTCTCGCGGACTTCATGCAGCCTGTATTTCATTAGTATAAATCTAGTAAGGTAGTTCCTCACTTACATCTTTGTGGTCACCTCCTTGTTCTCGAAATGTTTTACTGCGGGGTGGATAGCTCTTGTCAAAAGCTTTATGCTATCATCTATTCCTCCCACGGCCAAAATCGATTCCTGGTATGGAATATGCTTGAGATCTTGTCTGTTTGTTTCTGTAACAGTTTTGAGCAAGTAAGTTAAGGTCTCCTGAATTGGCGGAAACCTGACTTTGGGGCAAACAGCGGAGGAGTCCTGTATGGAGAAAGACTTATTAGTACCAATTCATACCTGAAGAGGATGTGAGACTTACTGCAGCTGGCGCACTAAGGCTCCTATTCTCAGTCATGGTTGGCTGCAACTGGTTCGGAAAGCGATCCTGAACATGGCTTCGTGGTCCAAACTTGGGCTTTTCTCGTGGCGTTGATGGTAGTTGAGAACCAGCTGGTTCCTGCAATTGTCTGTTCCATTTAGCTTGTGAACATTTGGGGTCATGCCCTTTCAGTCCGCAATGAGGGCAGACAGGGCATTGTGGACAGTCTCGAATGATATGTCCTTCCTGGCGACAGTATCCGCAAGGGCGATCTGGGCAGAGAGACTGTACATGGCCCTCCATGCCACAATTTTTGCAAAAAGGTCCATGTGGTTGAAACATCTTTATCAACTGGAAAAGCTGCACCGCAAGGTTTTGCTAAAGAAAGTAATAATCTTGTTATCACCGCAAAAAAAGTAGTTCTTCCAAGTGTGAGATGGGGGTAGCAACGAAATATACAAAACACCGGAGGGAGGATAGATTGAGGAGCTGGGGATTAAGAGAAAGCAAGTGTAAGAGTTGAGACTCATGCGTTTGTTGTTTATACAAACGAGACTGTGGTGGCTGGAGAATCAAGCCTATATAGATGGGAGACAGTGAATCCAGCACTACTATCTTTGGCAACTATTAATCCAGTGCTTAAAACACTCAAAGCCATGGCATCTAAAATGTCTAAGAAGCAGATAAAGAAAGGAGACAGTGGTGGCCAGAATATCAAGCCTATAGATGGAAGACAGTGAATCCAGCACTCCTATCTTTGGAACTATTGATCCAGCGCTTGAAACTCTCAAAGCCATGGTATCTGAAATGTCTAAGAAGCAGATAAAGAAAGGAGCCTGTGGTGGCCAGAATATCAAGCCTATAGATGGAAGACAGTGAATCCAGCACTACTATCTTTGGCAACTATTAATCCAGTGCTTGAAACACTCAAAGCCATGGCATCTAAAATATCTAAGAAGCAGATAAAGAAAGGAGCTTGTGGTAGCTGGAGAATCAAGCCCATAGATGGAAGACAGTGGATCTAGTACCACTATCTTAGTAACTATTGATCTAGTGCTGGAAACTCTCAAAGCCATGGCATCTAAAATGTCCGAGAAGCAGATAAACACCGTCTGCACTTAATTGCGTCACTCATTGTACATATATCCAAAATCAACAGTGGTTTACGTTGATATAAATAACCAGGATGCACTTGACCACACGCCACGCGAACATGAACAAGGTATCGATATGTTCATCCAATAATGCACCAATCGCGAAACGAATCAAAAGGGAAAGCATATACACGAACAAAAGCGCCAACTTCTTCAAAAGCAGATAATAATATCTCAAGGACGTCGATTCCCCGAGCCTCGACCGTCAGTCGGCGACTCAGGGGGTTGATCGACAAATCGCACACTTGTGCCTAAGCCGTTGCCCCGGCCATTGCGATTCCGGAAGCTTGAACCAGTCCGCGTGCCCATACCCTCGGCACGCAACAATCGACTGGCAAACGGCGTATACAGAGGCGTCGCAGGGGTTGTAGAAATTTGCGTGAGCGCTTTGGCTCGCGCGGCTCGCTTGGACGGAGACATCATGTAGTTAGGGGTTGTAAGCGGAGTTGCTGAGGGTACTTGAGACTCGGTACGGAAATCGCTGAGCTTGAATGGAGTCTCATTTCGATACCAAGGATCAAAAATGGCCTCGTCTGTCCCGTTCGTGAGTGCACCGTCAAAGGCTCCGGCAGGAGTTTTCAATGGACCTGGAATGTCTCGAGCTTCAAGTCTCATCCTGACTTTCTCTAACCAATGGCGAAACATGCTTCTTGCATGTTTTCTCAAATTGCGTTCATGCATAGAATTTGCAGTTTCGAAAGAGCTCTTGATCTGGAAGACGCGAAGGCTGAGTTTGCGAAGCTGACCGTTTGTGCGACCCAAGCCGTGCAGGCGGTAAACGTCGTTCGCTTGTTGCTTCAGGTCGCGATACTTGGCGGATGATTCCCTCCAGCGTGCCAGATGACCTCGAGCAATCTGGCGGGCGTACAAGATGTCTGCTTCTTCGCAGTCCTGCACTCTTTTATCTGTCGAGTCGCGCCATGCCTCCACATATTCTGCTGCGATAACCAAAGTCTTGCTCCGACAAAGGGCTATGGCTTGCTGCTCCAATTCTGCTACATGCTGAGCTCTCGAATGCCAGTGCGTTAGCGCTTTGAGGGCAAGATTGATCTTGATCTTTCGCCGCATCTTGGCATAGGCTTCCTGACGACGACGCTTGGCAGAGTCTAATGTAGCCTTGTGCCACTTTTTGATCGTTCGGGTCGCTAGGAAGTAATACCGTGCGTCGCGAGCCCACCCCTCCAATTTCGTCATGTGTTGGTGTTTCGAGTGCCAGGCCACCAGCGATTCCTGCTGAAGGCGTGGCGCATAGAATTCAGCCGCAGCCACTTCGCGTTGGCGCTGAAGCGCAAGCTGTTCCCGCCAGCAGATGAATTTTGAGCGGAGAAGTTCTTCGTTGCGGTACTCCTCATGCACATCGGCATGCTGCAACAAACGTGTATAAGTGTCACGCACGTTTGTCACAAACCTGGCGAACACATCGCGCGTGATTCGTTGATCGCGAATCCTTTGCATCAATCGAAACCGTTCCGCGAGGATCCATTTGTACATGATTTCCATCTTCATGCGCTCTTCTATGCGCGCAGTCAGAGCCTGACATCGAAGTAGATCATTCCAAGCGGTCCATGCATTGCGCATAACCCTCAGTCGATCCACTTCTTTCGCTTCTCTGAGCATTCGGAGCCGTTTGGCCCACTGCGAGAATGCCGTTTGGGTAATATTTCTATCTATCATTGCGGAGACGTGAGAAGCAACTGGACGTAATCGAGCCTCGGCTCTCCATTCCTCGAGTTTTTCCTGCAGGACTTGCTTGCGATCCACGGATATAGCGTCTTTTTCTGCAGCAACAATGGCTTTGGATCTCTGATGCCATAGCTGCCAAGCTGTCGCAGTAGCAGTATGCTTATTCTTCGCGTCTATCTCTTGATTACGTTCCCTATTCATGCGGAACTTTCGCAGCCAGTAAAGCAAGGAACGTCGCTTGAGGCGATGATCGTACCACTGGGGTGCCCGCCGATCACAGAAACTCCAGAACCATTGCCAGTAGACCGCATGTGTCAGTTTTTTGTTATGGACAGCCACTGCTTTTTGCTCCATTTCCTTCGCTTTTCGGGCCTTGCTTCGCCAGGCATTAAAGGGCCTTCGCAGCGCGAATCGCTGAGCTTTCAGCTCATTGACAGCTGTGATTTCACGCCAGGCGTTGAAATACTTGACACGGAGAATATGTCGTCGGGCAGCTGACGTTTTTGCAACTTCGTCAGAGGCGATTTGCGCCCAATGCGTGAAAGCTTTCGTCATAAGATATAGATCTCTGGCGCGTCCAGCACGCTCTTCGAGATGTTTGAAAAATTTCTCTGTCTGAGCAACCCGGCGTTTATCTTGGATAATTGTACGCCACGTCTCAAAAGCTTGCCGTAAGAGGGTTATCCTGTCGCGATTGACTGCGACCACTTCCATATTTCGGTGAGTCTGTTGCGTCTGAACCGCCTTCTTCAACCACTGCGTCAGAATGCGCCGAGCGATCGCGCGCTGACGATACATATTAAATGTCGAAGCATCCCGCAGCAAATCGGACAGTGATGGTCTATACAGCATTTCCGGGGGTACCTCCCTTTTCTCGAAAGAGTTGTGAGCGTCCTCCTGCGAGGATGTACTAGACCCTTCACTGTCTTCATCCGAGGCTATAGAGCTGGCGGCGCGGGCAGCCCGGGGCCGTGGCTTTGATCGCGAGGCTTCTGCCATTCTCTCAGAACGGTCTCGGTCAACCGCAGATCTGGCATCTTTCCCAACGAAAGTCGGTGTTTCATCTCGTCTCTGCTCCTTAGAAGCCAGCTCCTCCATTCGACGCATCAACTTACGCCCAACGTCCACAAACTGAGCCATTAATTGAGTCCTGTCAGGAGAGGTTCGTTGTTTCTCGGCCCGCGCCGGTGTCGGCTCAGGGAATTCAGTCTTCCCTGTCTGCAGGCGCGACATGGAGGAACGCGAGCTCGGGCGGTTGGCGAAGCTTCTTTGCGTAATATCTTCACCAACATCATACATAGAGTTGAAGGATGCTCGCCTTCGGCGCCTTGTCTGCGTGGTATCCTCTCTTGACGCCGTATCGCGATCAACCCTCCTATTGCGCAACCCTTCAATTGAGGGTTCTTTGTCCTCATATGTGTCATTGGTTTCGGTAAATGTATCGTCGCCTCCAAATTCGATGACAATACCCATTTGGCGAAGCAGATTCTCGAACTTTTCGAAGAGAGAATCGCCTACGACTTCTTTGCTTCCCATCTTGAAGAGGAAGCGCAGACAGGCATGGCCTGGATCCGCGTCCACTTCATGCTCGGCAATGACCTCATCGTACGCTTTAAACAACGCCCTGAAGGGAAGTCGGTTGGCATCCGGATCCAGCTCCGCGCGGATAACGATCTGATACAAGAGGCCGACATCTATCCACAAGGAAGACGGAGATTAGACAAAGAACTCGAATCGCAAAAATTGCGACATGCTAGTAACCGAAGTTGCCTACCTTCGTCTGAGAGCGACGGGTTTTCAAAGGATAAAGCTTTACGCTGAGGGGGATTCGGAGGCATCGAAAAGTCCGCGACCTAAGGCGCGTTTTTCGCAGATCGGTCATGGAGGCGGAAAACGAAATCATGCATTGCGAGACGCAAAGATGACGGTAGAACAAAGATCCGCAGTGTCCAATGCGAGAGAAACCAAATCCAAGAAATCCAGAAAAAAATAGTATGTCCGACTATGCAGAGCGTTGAAACAAGGACACAGAGCACCCCAGCTTTGTCCCCGGAACTCGAATTGTTTTGTTCGTGTCGCGCAGATGGGAATGCGTACGTCATGTGATTTGTACTGCTTATGTAATGCGTTGCCCGGTCCATGGGTCTGAATTGCATCACCAGCAGAGAGAAAAGCTGCAGAGGATCAGTTGCAGTATCC